CTGCTACTACTAGTGAATAACCGTCACTGATTTTAGCAGCACAATAAAAAGCTCTAGTATGACAAGGTGACTGCCAGCAAATTGATAATAGTCTCCCTTTTAAGAGATTTATTATTATTATACAGTATTTATAAAGCGCCAATGGTTCGCTCAGCGCTGTACATTACAAAGGGGGACAGAACATGTGAGAGAACAATACCAATACAATGCAAAACATGAGGGGATCGAGGGCCCTGCTCTTTCGAGCTTACAATCTAGGAGGGAGGGGATGGTGGTACAGGAGATAGCTGTGGGGGATGGAGTGGTAGGAAGAGTGGAGGAGGTTGGCAGGGGGTGGGGTAGGCTTCCCTGAATAGATGGGTTTTCAGGGTGCGCCTAAAGGAGAGGAGAGTAGGTGATAATCTGATGGGTTGGGGCAGGGAGTTCCAGAGGATGGGTGACACCCTGGAGAAGTCCTGGAGGCAGGCATGGGAGGAGGAGACCAGGGAACTAGAGAGAAGGAGGTCTTGTGAGGAGCGGAGTGTGCGTGCTGGGCGGTACTTGGATATTAGGTCAGTGATGTAGTACGGGGCAGTATGGTGGACAGCTTTGTACGTCAGTGTTAGGATTTTGAATTTGATCCATTGCGCAATCGGAAGCCAGTGGAGGGATTGGCAGAGGGGGGGGGTGGCGGAGATGGAGCGGTTGGAAAGGTGAATGAGTCTGGCAGCCGTATTCAGGATCGACTGAAGCAGGCATAGCCAGCGGTGAGGCAGGCCAGTGAGGAGGGAGTTGCAGTAGTCGAGTCGTGATATGATGAGGGAGTGGATGAGCTGTTTAGTGGTTTCTGGGGTTAGGAACGTGCGGATTTTGGTGATGTTGCGGAGGTGGAGTCTGCACGAGTTTGTTAAAGATTGGACTTGGGGCTGGAAGGATAGGTTGGAGTCCAGAATGACACCAAGTACTCTGGCCTGCAGGGCGGGTTTGATGGTGGCGTTGTTGGATGTGACGGAGAAGTCAATGGGGGGTGGTGTCCGGGCTGGGGGGAAGACAAGAAACTCAGTTTTGGAGAGGTTCAGTTTAAGGAAGTGGAGCGACATCCAGTCTGATATGTCACTCAGTAGGTGTGTGATTCGGGTGGAGACCGAGGGGGTGAGGTGGGGGGTTGAGAGATAGATTTGTGTGTCGTCGGCATAGAGGTGGTAGTTGAAGCCGTGAGAGTTAATGAGTTGGCCAAGGGAGGAGGTGTAGATGGAGAAGAGAAGGGGCCCGAGGACAGAGCCTTGAGGGACCCCAACAGAGAGGGGGAGTGAGGGGGAGGTGGTAGCATTAGAGGTAACGCTGAAAGTGCGCTGTGACAGGTAGGATGAGAGCCAGGAGAGAGCAGGATCACTGAGGCCGAGGGAGTGTAGTTTTTTGAGGAGGAGGGGGTGGTCGACTGTGTCGAAGGCCGCAGAGAGGTCAATGAGTAGGAGCACTGAATAGTGGCCATTAGCTTTGGCAGTTAGCAGGTCGTTGGAGAGTTTGAGTAAGGCAGTTTCGGTGGAGTGTAGGGGACGGAAGCCGGACTGTAGGGGATCGAGGAGGTTGTTGTCGTTGAGGTGAGAGCTTAGGCGGGTGTAGACTAGGCGCTCGAGGAGTTTAGATGTAAATGGGAGCAGGGAGATGGGTCTGATTTATATCACAAAAACGTGCACATGAGCCCTTAACCCCTTCACACCTAAGGGTAAAACAAATCTTAAAGCCGAAGTAAAGCTTTACAACTTTGACATGTGTTAGTACAATTGTACATATCATCACAACTACTTTGTACATCCAGGTGAATTATACCTTGTTTTTTTTCAGGACAAATGGAGGCTTTCATTTGATGGTAATGGATATCTCCTGATTTTTTTTTCTATTATCAAAGGAAAACTGTCCCAAAATAGTTAAAAAAAAAAAAAAAAAAAAAAAAAAACAACACATTTTTAATTTAGCTGTGTGTTTCTTGTTACTACCATAACCTACCACCAAAGAGCAACCCAAATACATTTTCCAGCTCTTGGCACTCGCAGCGATAACATATATGTGAGATAATTAACGAGCGTTGGAGATTAGCAAGCAGCTGGCATAAAAGGCACAAACCTCAAACCAAGACAATAACACATGCAGCGCTAAAAAATAAAATTAAAACATAGAAAAACATATAGAGTAATATTGTTGGATACTAGTTGTAGTGTTTTAAGTGTCCTCATAGCATGAATGCAATAGTCCCAATAAACTTGTGCAAGACGTGATGAACGTGCTGTGAAGTGTTTAAAATGCAACCAGAAAGCGCAATAAAATGCGCATTTGAGTTGTCAGACCACTCCTGGTCCCAAAGTTGAACCTATATGGATCATCTGGTGAGCTGTCACTCTGTCACTCCTTAACCAGCAGGGGGATCACGACATCCAAGGAACCCCACAGGGATAATCCAGGCTCATTAGGGCACTCACATGGGATCCACCTTGAGAGAGGGGGGGCTCTCAGAAAGCCCACCCCAAAAAACACTGATAGTGTAGTATGTTCCAACAAATGTTCTTTATTAGAGATGATGTATACAAATAACTCACAGGGTATCCCAGATAAAAAGATGGCCGCCGGCCTCCACGAGGTACGGAACGGCGTGACGTCACCGGCTAGGCTCCAGCGCGCTCCCAGCAGAAAGACAGGTGCACAAATATGCGGCCCCACAGAAAAAAAAAAGCAGTTTTGTGAGGCCGCATATTTGTGTGGCGTCAGCGTCAAGGGGTTAAAGTAATAGAATGAATATAAATGAAAATCTAAACATTTGTGTACACATATAAAAAGAAAACCTTATAAAATACCTTTTCCCCCCACTTTTGTAGAAGTGATCACAGTCCCTCTCAGTTGCATAAGAGCTGGGGAAGGAGAAACAGCAGCACACGGATCTTCTTAGTGAAAGGGTGTGTGTCAGGATATGTCTGATCATTGGAGAGAAGCAGGCCGAGTTCCCAGCACAGATAGAGAACTGACCATGCAGTGCTCTCCTGCCTAGTGTGGTCAGTTTTTAATAAGAATGCAGAGGGACTGGCAGGAACCCCAGGGATTTCACAAGAGTAACAATACAAAGACTGCAGGATAAATTTTCATAAACATACATGGTACAGCAGGCACATATCAGGAATATGAAATGCTGAGTTTACATATTCTTTAACCACTAGCCTAAGGGGCACTTATACCCCCTTCCTGCCCAGGCCAATTTTCAGCTTTCAGCGCTGTCACACTTTGAATAACAATTGCGCGGTCATGCAACATTGTACCCATATGAAATTTTTATCATTTGTTTGAGACAGATAGAGCTTTCTTTTGACGGTATTTAATCACCTCTGGGTTTTTTATTTTTTGCTAAACAAACCAAAAAACAGAAAATTTTGAAAAACAAAAACAAACGTTTTTTCTTAGTTTTTGTTTTAAAATTTTTCTCTTTCACTGATGTGCGCTAATGACGCTGCAGTGATGGGCACTAATAGGCTGCACTGATGGGCACAGATAGGTGGCACTTATGAGGAGGCACTGGTAGGTGGCACTGATGGGCACTGACAGGCATCACTGATGGGCACTGAAAGGCAGCACTCATATATGGCACTGATAGGCGGCACTGACTGGCATTGATAGGTGGCACTTACTGGCACTGAAAGGAAGCTCAGATGGGCACTAATATGTGGCATTGATGTGCACTGGTAGGCACTGATATGTGGCATTGATGTTGCACTGATGGGCACTGGCAGGTGGCACTGACAGCTGGCATTGATGGGCACTGACAGGTGGCACTGCTGGAGCTACACTGATCATTAGGGCACACTGATCATCAGTGCCCTGATGATCAGTGTACATGTCCCCTCTGAGGAATGCCGATCTCCAGCTCTCCTCTTGAGCTGTCAGCGTGACACCTTAGTGGAGAGAAATGCCGATAACCGGCATTTCCCTGTTTACATGTGATCAGCTGTGATTGGACACAGCTGATCACATGACCGAGCTGACATCTTCGGCTCTTTCCGTTGATCGGTGATCCACTGTGTCTGTGGGACATAGCGCACCACCGATGGCGGCGCTGCGTGCTCCCGGAGTCGTGCACACGCGGTTAGACAGGACGTCATATGACGTCCTCCCAGAACGAGAGAACCGCCTTGCGCCTGTCATTGCCTTATATGGCAGGCGGGAGGCGGGGTTAAAGTCCAAAAACCCGTTTTACAGGGTTTTTTTTTTTTTTAAATGTGTGGGCGCTTAATTCTGTAAACGATGTCTTGTGATGGTTAACACCACACCTCACAAGGCGAGCTTGTCCTCTGCATGACACAGAACAGCATTTGCTATACCCTTCTCTCTCCCCCCACCCGTACAGGGCTCAAATTAACAACGCTGCTCATGGAGCATGATTGAAGTTGACTGGAGCGCTGTGCATGGGGTTGTCGGACCTCTGGGGTGCACAAGAGCAGTGGACTAGCTCTCCAGTGTGCTGCTGACATAGGGAAGCTTTTACAGTATTAAGCACACACAAAGTAAAAAAAAAAATAATATATATATATCTTTACAACAGCAAAACAAGTATACTTGATACTTCCATTGTGCATTAAATCTACAGTCTATATATCTGCTCTATGCAACACAAATAAGAACATCTATGTACGAATACTCTAAAGATAAGCTCAAAGTATAAAAAAGAAAATAGGCATAAGCTAACATATAAACTTTTAGGATGATTAAAACACAAATAATAAGAACATGTTACCTTAAGTATCCGATTTTAATAAACATTTCAATATTTTCCTTACAAAAGTCACACATACAAACAAGAAAACATTTTTTTTTTTTTTAACACAAAGTGCAATAGTCTGTCACTTTTTCTCTCTTTTTTGGTAACATATTTCAAGGTCCATGAATATCAAAAGAGATCTAAGCTGAAAAAGTCTTACATGTTATTACTAGGAATGTGTATTAGAAAAGATGCATGGAAATCAAATATGCTGGTAAGGTCTATTGCCATAAATCTTCAGTCCGACCAAATTTGAACACAAGCCCCTGTGAATTGAAAAAGAATGCATAAGAATTCCAAATTTATACATGTAAATTTATTATGCACAACACAAGAGAAAAATATAAAGCACCTTCAGGTCTACTTGATACACTGCAGGGATGGTGGCAAACTTTGTTGCAGACCCTTACTCACTTTTTTCAAATGTTTCTACTTCAATGCTAAGTGAGAGAAACTGCATATAATATAATCACATGAAACAAACACGATATTAAGCTGGGTACACGAGCCGAAAATCAGCCAAAAATGGTTGGTTCGGCAGGAACCGGCTGGCTTTTGGCCTGTGTGTACAGCTCCTGAACCAGCTTCTATTGAATGGGAATGTTGGAAAACCAGCATCCAATTAGTGCTGCCAGCCAATGGCAAACAGTGTGTGCTGGCAAGGGCAGTCCTGCTGTCAGAACACATTAGCTCAGAGGGGAAATAGGCACACTAACATTGGATGTGTTAGTATGACAAGCTGTACGTTTTTTTTTCTTGTTCAGCCCGCTCAGATGAACGAACAAAAATAACTTCCTGTGTGTACCCAGCATAAGAGTTCTAAAAAGAACACTGCACCCCTAATATGTGCATCAACCTGTGCAAACATTACACCAAAAAGAAAAAATGCTCAGCAGACATTACAATGTACAATGCCTTGAAAAAGTATTCATACCCCTTGAAATTTTCCACATTTTGTCAGGTTACAACCAAAAACATAAAATATGTTGTTTATTGGGGTTTTACAGGATAGACCAAACACAAAGTGGCACATAATTATGAAGTGGAAGGAAAATAATAAATGATTTTTTAAAATTTTTTTACAAATAAATATCTGAAAAGTGTGGCATGCATTTGTATTCAGCCCCCTTTACTCTGATACCCCTAACTAAAATCTAGTGGAACCATGTGCCTTCAGAAGTCACCTAATTAGTAAATAGTTCACCTGTGTGTAATTTAATCTCAGTATAAATACAGCTGTTCTGTGTTTGTTAGAGAACATTAGTGAACGAACCGCATCATAAAGGCCAAGGAACACACCAGACAGGTCAGGGATAAAGTTGTGGAGAAGTTTAGAGCAGGGTTAGGTTATAAAACAATATCCCAAGCTTTGAACATCTCATGGAGCACTGCTTAATCCATCATCTGAAAATGGAAAGCGAATGGAACAACTGCAAACCTACCAAGACATGGCCGTCCATCTAAACCGATAGGCTGGGCAAGGAAAGCATTAATCAGAGAAGCAGCCAAGAGGTCCATGGTAACTCTGGAGGAGCTGCAGAGATCCACAGCTCAGGTGGGAGAATCTGACCACAGGACAACGACCAGTCATGCACTCCACAAATCTGGCCTTTATGAAAGAGTGGCAAGAAGAAAGCCATTGTTGAAAGAAAGCCATAAGAAGTCCTGTTTTGCAGTTTGCGAGAAGCCATGGGGGGGGGGGGGGGGGGACAGCAAACATGTGGAAGAAGATGTTCTGGTCAGATGAAGTTTTTGGCCTAAAAGCAAAAAGCTATGTGTGGTGGAAAACTAACACTGCATATCACCCTGAATACACAATCCCCACCACAAAACATGGTGGTGGCATTATCATGTTGCGGGGATGCTTTTCTTCAGCAGGGACAGGGAAGTTGGTCAGAGTTGATGGGAAGATGGATGGAGACAACTACAGGGTATTTTTAGAAGAAAACCTGTTAGAGTCTGGAAAATACTTGAGACTGGAGCATAGGTTCACCTTCCAGCAGGACAACGACCCTAAACATACAGCCAGAGCTACAATGGAATGGTTTTAGATCAAAACCTATTCATGTGTTAGAATGGCCCAGTCAAAGTCCAGACCTAAATCCAATTGAGAATCTGTGGCAAGACTTGAAAATTGCTGTCCACAGAAGCTCTCCATCCAGTCTGAGCTTGAGCTATTTTCCAAAGAAGAATGGGCAAAAATTTTCACCCTCTAGATGTGTAAATCTGGTGGAGACATCCCCAAAAAGACTTGCAGTTGTAATTGCAGTGAAAGGTGGTTCTACAAAGTATTGACTGAAGGGGGCTGAATGCAAATGCATGCCACACTTTTCAGATATTTGTAAAAAATGTTGAAAACCATTTATCATTTTCCTCCCACTTCACAATTATGTGCCACTTTGTGTTGGTCTATCACATAAAATCCCAATAAAATAAATTTACGTTTTTGGTTGTAACATGACAAAATGTGGAACATTTCAAGGGGTATGAATACTTTTTCAGGGCAATGTATATTGCATTTTATTCTTTAATGTCTACGTGGACTTCTAAGAAAACAGTGACCCAAATGCATACGCAGGGGGAAGCAAGGACTTTTGCAGAAAAAATGCTGCAAGAAAATATTTTTATATCTAGTAGATTTTAAAAATTGCAGCAGTTGTGGGTAGAGGTAGTTTTGATAGCATTCAATTATAAAAAGGGTTTTAGAACAATTAGATACTATAGAAATTGTGGAAAGTGATTTTAATTTTATGGCTAAAAGAAGACAAACTAGTGACTGTTCGTTTCCTTAAAGTGTTACTAAACCCACAACAGTAAAATCAGTGTGTATATGCAGTAAAGCATGCTTGTTATACTCACTGTGGAACCTAAGGGGTTAATGCTTTGCATTGCATAAAAAGGCTGTTTGAGTCTTTCTTTTCTGCCCCTCCTCTTGTTGAAATGATCACCTGATACAGACTGAATCCGTAGTAACATCACATGCTCAGTTTAGTGTGCATTGCTAGAGAGATTTTCTTTTTTTCCATGTGCATGTGATCAGCAGAGGGCCAATCAGCACTGTCCAGAGGGTCAGAGGTTTCACATCCTCCTAGAGCAGAAAGAAAACTCCTCCTACAAGCTTTAACCAAGAAGTCACAAGACTGCTCTAACTGCTGATTAGAAAAGGTATTCAGCAGTTTATATTTTTTTTACTAAAATAATTGCATTTCCATGTTCTGTGTACTGTGGGAGACCAAATATAGTGAATACAGGCAATAAAAGTGGCCATCCGCCGCCCAAGTCTATAACTGGCTTATGAAGCAAGGACACATAAACAGGCATCACATAGTGAATAAGGGGAGAGAACAATGTTCTTGTACAACTTACCAGCCAGCTTGCTAACAACCGAATTAACCTGTCTAACAGTATGCGTTTATAACAGGGGTTTAGTTCGCACACATTTGCAAATACATACGTAAGCCACAGAGCCACGACACGGCACCCTGATAATCTGTGGTCCTAACTCTACAATTTGTGTTTGCCTTTAAGAGGGGTGGCTCCCTCAGGTTCAGCTGCCCTTGATCTATCCATTAAATGCATGTGCCTCTACTATGGGGACTCACAAATTGTAGAGTTAGGACCACAGAATATCAGGGTGCCGTGTCGTGGCTCTGTGGCTTACGTATGTATTTGCAAATGTGTGTGCAAACTAAACCCCTGTTATAAACGCATACTGTTAGACAGGTTAATTCGGTTGTTAGCAAGCTGGCTGGCAAGTTGTCCAAGAACATTGTTCTCTCCCCCTTATTCATAGTGAATACAGGCTCCTGGGTTTAGTATCACTTTAAGTATACCTATGGTCAAAATTTAAAATTATATCTTTCCACATTGCATTTCAATATTTTCTAACATACCCCAATATTCTGAATGATCTTGACATTTGTAAATGTATTTTTTTGAAGATTCCCACACTATTACTTAAATTTCAAGCCACATATTCACTATTCCCAGTGAGTAGGAAATGCTGTGTCACACATTCCACAGAGCCTGCCTTCTAATTTACAGAGGTGCTGAAAGGAGGAGTTTTCAGGAGGCGGAGTACAGGAATCACTGCTTACAGGTAGCAAGGTACCATGGGATATGTAGTCCTTAGAAATCGAAAGTAAACAGCAGAGGAGATGCGCTGCAAAGCATGCAGGGAATCCAGGAAGTTGTGGGAAAAGATGACCAACAGACAGGTAGCATAGATTTCTTAGGTAAGCTTATACTGGATTGTCAAAAATAACTTTTTTCTATTGCTATTTACAATGCTTAAGTTATGAGTGAAAGCGTATGCTGTGGCAAAAGAACTCTGTTACTTTGACTAAAACACAAGGGAATGATAGATCAATCTTTACTTACCCAAGAGAAAATAAAAGTATTTTGAAAAAACACACAGCAATACCAGGATACACTTCTGGGATACCTGTGAAAAACACAATCACTACATTCAAATATCTTATAAAAATCTTTGCACTCCCAGGAGACGATTTACACTTCGCATTTAACATTTGATTTTAAAGGCCAACTCCAGAAAAAAATTGTAAATTCTGCACCAGCTACATAGGAAAGAGGTAATAACAGGCATGTTGTTGCGTGTGCAGTGCTGCCGTCTCCCCTGGATTACAAAGTGCTGCAGGCATGAAAGCAGCCGCTATCGGTAGTGAATGGATCCCGTCGCATGCGCACCCTGAGCACCCTCCCTCCATGCCCCATTCACAGAAAATTCTTGTTTTTTTTTCCCTCCACAGTAATACAAGGAGTTCTGTGATTGGAAGACAAGAAATCACATGCATCGCTCCACTCCTCTCACATCCCCCAATCACAGATGTGACCAGAGCCTGCTGTACCCAGAAATCCAGTGGAGCTTGCCTGAGATATGATTAGTAGCACTGCACACACAACACACCTATTATTAATTCTTTTACACATAGCTGGTGCAGGATTTACAATCACATTTTTTTCTCAGAGCACTTCAGCACTGGATCCTCGCTGCTGCTGTGGTGCATTTACAACACGTGTTTATGTGCATTTTAAGGATCCTATTCATTTCCAATGGCCGCCAAGCAAGTAAATGTAGTAAACAAACACACAGGACTCTTCAGTGCACCACAATACAAAGATGTATATGCAGGAGTTGGAAGAAGACAATTCAGACTTTTGGGGGGGGGGGGGGGGGGGGGGGCAACAACAGACACACATGTTAAGGTTGCAGACAAAATTAATTGGCCCATGTAAAGCAACAGGCATGGAACAGTTGTCAATGTGCATAACAGTGACTAGTGTGTAACGGGTTAAAGCGGAACTCATGTCTTACCAATACTTACCTCTGCTTCAAAAGGTCCCTCACCTTGCATGTGCTGCTCAGTGTACATTCTACAGTTAGCTCTGAACAGGTAGGTTGGTTTATTTTATTGCAGAACAGACATTGCATGTCATTTGTGCAATAAAGAGTTTGCCCGCACACTAGACTTTAGTTTTGCTTTAAACTGATCCAGATCTTATTGCAGAAAGGTATGAATTCTTCCCACAGAGAAATTCCTGGGGTGAAATGTTTGTTCTTCACACCAGGCAAAGTGAGCCTTCAATGTGTGATAGTAGATCATGTGGGAGGATAGACTTCCTAGCTTTTAAAAGTGTATGAATGACCAAAATCAGAGAGACCCTCGTCTCAAATCCTGGGCTTGAACATGCATGCCGTTAAAGCCAGTGGCCTTGAAGCAGGGTGGTAAACACAGGAAATCCAGTTTATTGTGAAAAGCCCACAGGGTGTCTGCCAGAAATTTGAACAGGTCTGAATACCATTCCCATCTAGGCAGGTTTAGAGCCATGAGGATCACTAGAATGCCCTCCAGAGTGATCCAGTGGAGCACACGAGGAAAGAGTTTCCGAAGAAACCAGAAAATTACGAAAGCATCCACGGTCTCTTTGTTGTTGAACCTGGAGTCTAGGAAGTTCACAGCCAGTGTCCCCACCTGTGACCAGAAACATTTTTAGGTGTACAGACCATTCCCATGGGTGCAGGCATTGTTGGATGAGGTTATTTGCTTGCCAATTGGCCATGCCCTGAAATGTGAACAGCCAAAACTGGAACATGGAATTCTGCACCAGGCTAAATTTTTCTACCTCTCTAGCTGCTGGTTGCTGCCCCTGATGGTTGATGTATACCAATGCTGTCCTCCTCAGGATGCCTCTCCAATCAATCTGTCCAGTGTTGAAGGGACAACCAAAATGTTTAGAGCTCCAGAAAGTCCCATACTCCAACAAGGTGTCCAATACTCCCCCCCAAGTCCCTCAACCTAGCATCTGTTAGGATTTTTTTCATAACAAGAGGAGAAAGGATTTCCCCAACTCTACAGCAGGACCAGAACAGAGACAACTTGGTCTGTGGTGTCAGACAAAATGGTTTGTCTAGAGACTGAACAGATTTGTCCCACAACAACAGAATGTTGTGCTGTAGAGATCTGGAGTTGAACTGAGCAAACTGAATTGCCTCGAAGGTGCCAATATCTTGGAGAACACACAGGGTGCAGACGACAGCACAAATGATAGGGCCACAAATGGATAATACTGAGTACACATTGCAATAGGGAAGTAGTGTAATGAGCTAGAAAGATGGGGACATGCAAGTACACATCTTTGATATCCACAAAGGCTAGAAAGTCCTCCTGATGGAGGGAGACTATGAAAAACCTGGTAGATTGCATTCGAGGACCAGCAGGATTGATCCCCTAGATGCATAGTGAAGCGGGCTGCATCAGATTGAAAATAGATTGTATATCTGAGTTATAAGAAACCTACTCACGTACAATCTAGTTAGAGGTAGACGTAATAAGAGCCTCAGGCACTCAGAGATAAAGGCACAGTAAGATCAAAAGGTAGACTCTGCACTGGAAGGCTTCAGAGAGTGAATAGTTTCTGTAAGGAGATTTTTCTGTTAATTATGCACAGTGTCACAAGATCAAAAGGTGAACATAAGAGGCCTTGAAGACACAGTATAATTCTTAGGCTTAGATAGTGGAGCTGTAGAAACAATTGAGTATTGGCATGATACTTTTATTATTTGCAATAACATACAATTTTGAGGACAAGCTTTAGGGGTATGTCCCCTTCTTCAAGGTCCAGGCAGTACTATTTCTTAACGTTTTAGCAAAAATGTTAGAAGTGGTTAGCACTTCCGCCTGGCAGTACTAGGGTCGTTGGTTTGAATCCCAGCCACGGCACCATCTGCCTGGAGTTTGCATGTTCTCCCTGTGCCTGTGTGGGTTTCCTCCGGGTACTCCGGTTTCCTCCCACACCCCAAAGACATGCTGGTAGGTTAATTGGATCCTGTCTAAATTGTCCCTAGTATGTGTAAGAATGTAAGTTAGGGACTTTAGATTGTACACCCCTTGAGGGTTAGGGACTGATGTGAATGTACAATATATATGTAAAGCGCTGCGTAAATTGACAGCGCTATATAAGTACCTATAATAAAGAGATGTTGAAAAAAAAAAAAAAAAAGACAGAAAAAAAACACACAAAACAAATGTACACAGCAATGGCTATAAGACTAGGATTAGACTAGAGAAGACACAGCAAAAGCAAAGACTGGGGGGGGGACAACATTCACAGAGGGGGTTTAAAACTGTTGGATAATAAGTGAGGAATCCCATGTCCAAATTAAGGCCATTATCTCTGGTATCAAATAGAATTATCATTCTTAGTTCAAAAGTTTTCTTTTCCTGATTAGTTTTGAAATTTCTTTTAAGAACTAAAATATTGAGGTCTCCCATTGTGTGGCCTGGTTGTGCGAAATGGTGTCCTACAGGTGTGCAGAAGTCATCTTCTTTATGTTCCTTGATGGTATGTCTGTGCAAATTCATCCTTGTTTGCAACTTCTGTCCTGTTTTGCCAACATAAGATCCTTTGCTATATTTTCTGCACTGGATAAGGTACACAACATTACTAGAAGTGCAGCTGTATGATCCGGAGATATTGAAGATCCCTTTTGAGTGTCTGACACTTTTTGATGGATTGATTTGGTTGCACAGACACTCAAAGGGGATCTTCAATATCTCCGGATCATACAGCTGCACTTCTAGTAATGTTGTGTACCTTATCCAGTGCAGATAATGTAGCAAAGGATCTTATGTTGGTGAAACAGGACAGAAGTTGCAAACAAGGATGAATTTGCACAGACATACCATCAAGGAACATAAAGAAGATGACTTTTGCACACCTGTGGGACACCATTTCGCACAACCGGACCACACAATGGGAGACCTCAGTCTTTTAGTTCTTAAAGGAAATTTCAAAACTATTCAGGAAAGGAAAACTTTTGAACTAAGAATGACAATTCTATTTGATACAAGAGATAACGGCCTTAATTTGGACATGGGATTCCTCACTCATTATCCAACAGTTTTACGACCCCCTCTGTGAGTGTTGTCCCCCCAAGTCTTTGCTTTTGCTGTGTCTTGTCTCTAGTCTAATCCTTGTCTTATAACCATTGCTGTATACATTTGTGTGTGTTTGTTTTTGTTTTTTTCTCTCCCCCTTTCAACATCTCTTCTAACATTCTGCTAAAACTTTGTGTAGTAGTACTGCCTGGACCTTGAAGAAGGGGACATTCCCCGAAAGCTTGTCCTCAAAATTGTATGTTAGTGCAAACAAAAAAGTATCACGTCAGCACTCAATTGTTTCTGTCGCAAGTGCACTAATACGGCTACAATCACCCCAAGCAATAGTGGAGCTGTAAAAGCTGCTGAGACCATCTGTTTAGAAATAGGGGTCTCCAGATACAGATTACAGGTATCGGTTCATTCTGGGAATACTGGTGTTTTTCTCTCCAGGAACAATAGGAGAGTATGGGACAAGGTCAACCATTGCAGTGGGATTGTCCCTGGGTGTCTTTGAAAAGACATGTTGCTCCACTTATCTGTAAGCGATTAGGCCCAAGGTTAGGCAAGGCCTTACATATCCACAAATCTATGCAGCTGGTACTGAGGAGGGTTGTAGGTGGCTGGAGGCGGTTAAGTCACTGTAGGCAGACAGAGGGAAAAATAATGGACAGTAGATGATTCACAAGGTGCTTAAAAAAGCAGCAGGACGGTATTTCTGCTCAAGCTGAAAGGCATTCAAGGAGAACACGCAAAAATCTATCTAGTGAAAGACAGTGGCGTTGTGTTTCCTCAAGCAAAGCTATCACCTCAATTAAAAAAAGAATGGGAGATTTAAAATGGTGCCCAACAATCAAAGCTGCTGTTACTAAAGCCCAACTGACAGTTGTGAGAGACTGGGTCACACTGAATGCTGTGCTCTAGAACTGGAAAGCACTCTGAAAGTTACTAATACGGAACATGAAGAAGTACAATAAAGCAAGTACCACTGTTCAAAAGTCACATATCAGGATATGTTAGTCACAATCAGAGACTCGCTGACAGTGAAACAGCAGAGAATGCATCACAACTGAAGCAGTGCCACAGCTATAGGCAGATCGGCAAATAGTACAGAGGGGTCTGTAAAGTGCCACAATGCAGAGCGCAGTGTTTGAAGGTGACATGCCAGGATATTTTTGCAAACTCCAGAAGTTTACTCACAAAGGAGTCATCAGAACCGTTACCACAGCTCTGAAATTGGAGAGTGCTCTGCAGCTGACAGTACATTGGTGTGGAAAGCATCAGAATTCAGAGCCTATTTCCTAAACATAAAACATTGCAGGCTCTCTGCACCCAATCAATGAGCTTAAAGACTGAGTTTTCAGTGACTAGGGCCACATTAGGGCTGTGAAACTGCTTTGGACATGTGAAGTTTCTCTGTGGCTAACACAGTACACCAAGGTCTGGGAAGTGTCATAAGCAGAGAGCCAGTGCCTGAACATCACATATCAGACAGTCCCCTTTTATTTCAGTCTAATATGACCTTCCAAAGCTATTGCTGAATATACCCTGATCCACATAAAAAAAAGAAAAAAAAAAAAAAAGGACGATTAAGTACTGTAAAAATTCTAAATAGGAAAAAAGAAGACATCCTAGGTAACATTAGCAAAAAACTGAACCATGATGGGAGTGGCAGGGGATATACCTGGCTGGCCAACATTTTTTTTGTTTCCTCCTGAAGAATTCAATGAATAAGAAGAAAAAGAAAATTTTATATTTTTGATACAGCAAATTCAGATGCAACTATCCTACCTTTTGCAACATAACCACCAAATAATATCCACATGGATGCTATCAGAGATCCAAAGGACAACATGAAACCAATGAATAGCCAAACACGGGCACCTAAAAAAAAAACAAACAAAAAACATTTAAATATGTTTAATTGTAAATATCCAGTGTGAACAAAGTTCAGTGTTATATTACCCTAATGCTGGTCATAGACAGGTCGAATCCCAGCCGGTTCAATAGTGACCAGACAAGATTCGAACCCTGTATGGGCAGGCTGAATGTAAGTTGATCATGCATGTTTTTCATGCGAATATTGCAAGCGCCTATTATAGCAGCTAGCAGTAATTGCCTTGTTCTCCTGGAAGGGACGGCTCCCCCCACTGAGAGAACACAATGGCTTTTTGGGAGGGATTCCCCCATCAACACTGAATGTGCTGATGGGGGGAATTGAGCAATCTTCTTTCCTGCAACCTGTGGTAGCAAAAAAGAAAAATCGCTCCATCTATAGCTGACATAAGAGTTGAAAGAGCACACATCATAGACATCTAATAACAGAAAATATGGAAAAAATTATTTATTTAAAATGAAGTTTATTTTTTCAAAGATGGGGAATATAATGCACTGCAGCAGCTCCCAAATTTCAACTACGTTAATCAGTGGGAGTTAATTATGAACAGGTGAACTACATCATCGTATTTTCTGGACATTAATCCTAGCTTGGACCAAAGTAAGTATGAATAACTCACACCTGAGTGTTCCCTGTGGAATCACTATATTAGGCAGCACTACTACAGTGACAGTTGCACCTTTGGGTCCAGTGCTGAGCAGTTGCCCTTCTGCAAAGTATCCACATGCTTGCTCGCTCGCTTGGCACTGCTGCCATTCACAGAAGGCTTGGTACTTTGTTTTTCAGCGAATACAAGAAATTTTCTCATTGGATAAAGAGGAGAATGTGTTATCACCACCCAACCTCTCCACCTTGCCCAATCAGAAAAAGTCATTTGTTCATTGATACAAATACAAGACGTACTGTGAATGATGACAGTGCTGAGTGAGTGATACCCTGTGGTTACTATGCAGAAGGGGAACTGTTAGCTGTGGACCTTGTTGTAGTGCTGACTAGTAGAGTGGCTTGCAGCTTACATAGGGAATGGATAAGTATGACATATGCATGCTTATGTTGGTCCAAGCTTGTTGGTTCAATAAAATTCATATCTAAACTTCAGCTTTAAAGTGGTAGTAAACTCTGTTTTATTTTTTTTTTTCAATCTAAAGGTAAGCTTAGAATAAAGCTTACCTGAAGATAAAATTAATATCTCCTAAACATGCACCGTTTTGGAGATATTCTAGTGAACAGCAGTCAGTGAAGTCACTGGCGCATGCGCTCTAGAGGAACAGCATACCTGTGCCGTTCCTACAGAGCTGTGTACTGCAGCCGAAACTCTTGTGCGCATGCTCGGGGGAGTGACGTCATCGGGGCTCGGCCATATAAGTGGCTACAACCTGCGAACCTGAAAGGAAGACCGGGTGAAGATGGAAGCCTCTGCAGTGCTGACAGCGCACCGCTGGAGGTCTTTGTTTTAAGGTAGGTCCTTATAATTATACATTTGCCTTGCAGGGGAAAAACGTTCCCCCCCACCCTAGAGTTTAAACCTTTAAACAGGCAACTAAATTTAACCCAACATTATTGCTCAATGCTTGTCTCATTTAAATAATGTTTTACATTTTGTATTTCTACAGAAGTAATATTTACCTATTTGCCCAAAACAGCCCTCACTGTAGCTATCACCACGAACCTGTCCATTAGACACTGCATTAATCCTGTAAAACAAAAATACTATCATTCAACAGTATACATATAAACATGTAGTTATAGTGCCTATCAAATATCATATACATGTTTTGTAGGTAAACTATTAAGTCTTTTTCTTAATTTTCATGATAATCATGTTTCTGGTTACAGCCACAATAGTTTTCATGTCCTATTTTACTTAAAGCTCCCGGAAGTTATAAAAGGCAAAAATTAAGTGATCATCAATACATCTTTTATTTTAATGCAAGCTGCATAAGTATCTGCATTTGACTTGGTATCAGCCTTGTACAGTCCCAGTATAGCAGAGCTCAGAGTTTGGGGGGGCAGTAAGAAACCAATCAGGTGTGCTACAGCGCATTAAGCGTGCCAAGAGGAGGAAAGAGCAGTGACAGAGAGATGAGTTCATCAGTGAACTGCTTCTATGTTCACTGTCCCGTCACAGCAGGTGTGGAGAGGAGATCTGTAAGTAAAGTATAACTGCAGCAGAGAAAGATGAGATCCCCTTCCCTGCCAGACAGGGCTGTGCTGTGAGGCAGACCTTTGTATATCTCAGGTGAACAAAAATACAAATTCTTAGCATGTAAAACTGCTCTCATAAGCATTTCATCTGTAATTTTTTTTTTGCAATTTTTTTTTTATATTTATAATTTTGTTTCATTTCGCTCTTCAGCAAAGTACATAGTACAGAACAACAGAAAACAGTCTGCCTGTCATGGAGGAACAAAGACAGTCATACTGTACACAACAATAAGAGCAATGAAAAAGTCAGTGCACATCCAGAACTGTACCATCTTGTATGACTCTCAACCCATTTGAGAACATGTATAACAGGACCCCAAGAACATATCATTCGGAACCACTCAATACAGGTGCATGTGCGGGAGTCCAACTCACGAAGGCTTAAGCCAAAAGAGCATTTTTAAAAAACTGGAATATATCAGATATGGGGATCAGGAAGAAATAACTGAGAAAGGAAGAGGGGAAACAAAAAAAAAAAAAAAATGGGGGGGGGGGGGGGGGGAAGGGTGTGGATAGGGGTACATGGACTGGTGCCCATTCAGAAAAATGAAAGGCATGAGGTATCTGGTCCTTACTGGGACAGGTACAAGGCATAGTCTTGTGATCATTTGAAGTTGTGCCAATAATACAATGTTTTACGGAATTTTTTACATTTCAAACCAGCTGTTAGATGTTCCATATCATTAATCTCATTTACCACAGCTATCCATTAGATGATCCACTGAGGGTCAGTATTTTTCTATTTTTGTGGGAAACAGACTTTGGCAGCATTAGGCAAGTGGATCAGGTGGGATCTACGTCTTGAGAGTGGGGTGATGTTTAGAAGGAATGTCTCAGGGTGCATCTCCAGAGAGAAATCAGTAAGCTTATGAATCAGCTGTTTAATATCTTCCCAAAATGATTGTATGCAAAGGCATGCCAAAAAGATATGCAACAACGTATCCGGTTTCTTGTTGGTAACGAGAAACAGCGGGAAAGATCCTATGAAGAAGCGCAGGGGTCCTATACCAGTGAGTCAGTAGTTTATATCCTGCCTCCTGGTATCTGCTGGACAGATAGGACCAATGCGCAAAATAAAGGAGCCAGTCTCTCTGCGCAGGAGTCAAAATTTTATCTAAATCTAGTTCCCATTTCTGAAGGAAGGGAGGAACATAGTCCTTAGGAGGATTGGAAAACAAAGCATAGTACATCGAGAGAGTGTGAAGCAAAAGGGAAGGATGTGAACAAAGCTGCTCGAATGGAGAATTCCTACTCAATCTGATATTAGATAAGAAATTACATATTTGCATGGCCCTCCACAAGTCCAATGGGGGGGAGGTCATGGTCTGGATCTCCGAGATGGACCGCCATCTACCTCCCATCAGAGAATGCTGAACACAGAATTGGTTGCTTAAAAGTCTTTGAATCTTGTATCCTCCAAGCCTGGGATAAATTCCTGAGCGCCTATTATTGGGGACATTAAAGTAAATTTCCACGGAGCGGACCTCAGGCAGCCCACTTTGGCCAGTACTGCCACTGTGGTCCCTATCGTAGGGTGCTGGGTGATGTAAGGCTTGGATGCAGCTGCTCAGCCATGGAAACCCATTCTATAAAGCTCTCTATGCACTGTTGTGCTAATCTGAATGTCACATGAAGTTTGGAGGTCTTTAGCTATTAACTCTGCAGACAGTTGGCAACTTCTGAGTTAGTGTGCTTCAGCGTGCGCTGACCCCGCTCTGTCATTTTATGTGGCCTACCATTTTGTGGCGGAGTTGTTGATCCCAGTTGCTTCTACTTTGTTATAATACCACTAACACTAATAACACTGTGGAATATTTAGAAGAATGAAATTTCAAGGATGGACTTATTGCACAGGTGGCAAGCTATCACAGTAGCACGCTGGAATTCACAGAGCCCCTGAGAGCGACCCAATCTTTCACAAATGTTTGTAGAAGCAGTCTGCATGACTAGGTGCTTTTATACAACTGTGGCCATGGAGGTGATTGGAACACCTGAATCCAATGATTTGGAAGTGTCCCCGATATAGTGTGTATGTATATATATATATATCTCTCTCTCTATATATATATCTATCTCAAATTGTAATGTAAAAATTAAGTATAACATTTGCTACAATGATCCACACAGTTAACTATAGAAAATCTTATGTGCTTTGCCTCATTTCTGAAATTTGCTTCCAAACTCCATTTTTCCAAAATTTTAAAAACAATTTTAAAAGCTGAACTCCAGCCTTACTTTCAGTCTTGTACAGTTGTACAGACTCCTCTGCTGTAATAAAATCATTTACTCTGATTTCACTGCACACTTTAAGCTTCTTACAAAGTGCATTAGAAGCAGCAGCAAGTCAGGCTGCCTTATTTCTCAACAGGAGGACATCCAGTATTATCTATAGAACTTTCCTTGCTAACCATACTGTTCCTGGATTGCCCCCTTTATTCACTGAATTTTAAAATGGATCTAAAGCCTGAAGGCTTTTTTACCTTCATGCATTCTGTGGGCATTTAGTACATTAATCCTTCCCAGGAAGGAGATGGCAAATTTGACCCAAGATTTTAAGGATTGAGTAATGGTTTGGAAAAAGGGCGGAAAATTAGCTTCCTCAAGGGAGTGGTAGGTGGAAGTAAGGTTGGTACCTAGGTACCTCAAGGAATGGGAGCACCAGCGGTAGGGGTAATTTAGCTTAAGGGAAGATAACATAGCTGGGGGTATGTAAAGTGGTAACGCTTCTGTTTTAGAAGTGTTCTCTTCATATCTGGACAAGGCACCAAAGAGATGGAGAGTACGATGCAGAACAGGAAGCGTGGTGTGGGGCTCCGTCAATGTTAGTAAAATATCATCTGCGAACAAAGATAGCTTAAAATCACTTTTGTGGGTATGTAACCCATGAATATCAGGATTGGATCTGATAGCTATTGCAAGGGGCTCTAGACAGAGGAAAAACAGTAAAGGGAAAAGAGGGCATCCCTGGCAGATTCCATTAGACATCCGAAATGTAGGTGATAAGTATGAAGCCAATTTGACCTGGGACAGTTTATACTTTTGATGTGTTTCCTATTTCCTATTGTGAATACAATATGGGCTTATGCGATTTGCAGGTCATTGCATTCTGCTTTTATGTAGACATAGTGTCCCAAAAATGTTGGAATTGGGGTTGTATAAGATTAACCACTTGACCTCCAGAGGATGTACCCTCCTTAATGACCAGGCCTCTTTTTGCTACTCGGCGCTGCACTAATTCAACTGATAATTGTGCGGTCATGCAATGCTGCACCCAAACAAAATTTACGTCCTTTTTTTCACACAAATAGAGCTTTCTTTCGGTGGTATTTGATCACCTGTGCACTTTTTATTTTTCATGCTATAAACAAAAAAAAGGCCAAAAGTTTTGAAGAAAAACAATATTTTTTCCTTTCAGCTATAAAAAATATATAGTAAACTCAAAGTTGGTTATAAATTTAGGCCAAAATGTATTCTGCTACATGTTTTTTGGTAAAAAAAATCCCAATAAGTGTATATTGATAGCATTGTGAAAGTTATAGCGTCTACAAACTATGGTATAGATACTGCAATTTACACCATTTTTTGCTAAACAGCACTGCTCTAGTTTAACGGACAATTGTGCGGTCATGCAATACGGTACATAAATGACATTTACATCCTTTTTTTCCCACAAATTGAGCTTTCTTTCAGTGGTATTTGATCGCCTGTGCGGTTTTTAGTTTTTGCGCTATAAAAAAAAAGGCTGACAATTTTGAGGAAAAAAAACAATATCTTGGACTTTGTGCTATAAAACATGTCCAGTAAAAAAAAAATTTAAAAATCAAATTTAGTCATAAATTTCTGCCAAAATGCATTCTGCGACATGTCTTTGCTAAAAAAAAAAACCCAATACGTGTAAATTAATTGGTTTACGTGAAAGTTATAGCGTTTACAAATGGCGGGAAAGATACTGGGATTTTTAGTTTTTTTTTTTTTACTAATAATGGCGGCGATCAGCGACTTATGGCGGCGATCAGTGATTTATGGCGGCGATCAGCGACTTATGGCGGGACTGCGGCGGACATTCTGACATTTGGGGGGTACTGACTTGGGGTCACTGACATCCCCAGTGACACCAATACAGTGATCAGTGCAAAAAAAAAAAAAAACACTGACACTGTACTAATGGCACTGGGGAGGAAGGGGTTAAGTTTATTATTCAGGGAAAGGGTTAACTGTGTGAGGGGAGTGTTTTACTAGGGGGCGGGGGGGGGGGGTGTACTGCAGGGAACACCGCTGATCGGGAGAGAGAAACTCTTCTGTCCCGATCAGCGTGTCCTGGAGCTGTCAAGGAACTGACAGAAAGCACAGCTACTGCCGATCGCCGGGACATAGCCAGTAACGACCAGCTGTGACCCGACAACTGACATCCGCGGCTGTGATCGGCGGGACAGGTAGGGCGGCGGCGCGCCCCCCTACCTGTTTACAAAACACATGTTTTAAAACGTGCTTTTGCCCAGCCGTGCCTCCCTGCCCTGCCGCCGTATTTATACAGTGGCTGGGCGGCATGTGGTTAAACTTTAGCTTTAAATGAACTGTGAAAATAGCATAATAACACAGTATGCTCCTTTGAGTCATAATCTACCAGTACACCACCTCACAGCAAATATTCCTGTTTGGTGCAAGATGCATTATGCTTATTAGCATCATAGCTCTTCTCTCTGCATGTGGGCCTAATATGCATAAATCTGACAACATTTCTGATAAGCAAACAAGTGGATAGCTGAAGCTATTTTGCACCGCAGCTCTTAGAACTCCAAAAACACCAGCTGCATTCATACTGTACTTACATAAGGAAAGCTACAGTTGCTATAAACACCACAAGCATGGTAAGAGTGATTCAGTTGTTCTTGAGAAGGATAATTAACAGCGGCATCAATGATAATCCACCAGCCTGTGAAAAACTGAAAAGTCAACCAAATTGATTTCAAATCATAAATAACAACTTTGTTACATACATTAAAGAAAGATCTACTTTTACTGTAAAATCACATATATACACTAGTCTTTGTGTAACATAACATTATTAAAATGACCTCTCCATTTCAATCTGCAGTGGCCTTAGTTTAATAAAAAAAGGTCAACAATCAAATATCACTTCCTTGTAACATGGCATCCTGGAGGTGTTCCATACAGCCTTGGCACACACAACCAAAAAATTCATTTCTTGATGGTGTGATAGTCTCACTGTTTTTCTTAGACTTCTGCACGGAGACGCAAGTCACATTTTAGTCATCCTCTGAATAAGAAGTTTAATTTTTGGTGAGGTACTCTCAAAAGGTATAGGTCCACCAACTTTTTTATTTAAGGCCCAGTTCACAGTCTATCAGAATATTGAGGGTCTAGACCAGGGGTGGGCAACTGTGGCCCTCCAACTGTTGTAGAACTACAAGTCCCATGAGGCATTGCAAAATTGACAGTTACAAGCATGACTCCCAAAGGCAGAGGCATGATGGGACTTGTAGTTCACCAACAGCTGGAGGTCTACCCCTGGTCTAGACTTATCATGAGAAAAAAAGAAAAAAAAAGAAAAAAAGTGCCCCCGGCTCTGTAAGTCAGTTAACGTAAAAAAAATTCCCATGGAATTAGTAGGAACAAAATATCCCTCTACAATCCTGGACCTGCTGCCATTTTGCACTAAAAAGCTTCCTTTAGCATGCAATGAAAAAAACTTGCATGCCAGGCCTTTTTATTGCGCAGGCCAGTTTCCAAGCAATGGCCTGTAAGCAGACCACTACCTAATTTGAGGACCACTGCTCTGAGGCCTGGACTGTTCTTAAAGGATAGGTTCACTTTTTGCATAAAAATAATAAATGCACTTTTTTGCAAAAAAAAAAAAAAAAGTGCATTTCTTATTTTGGTCTGCATGAGCCTGTAAAGCATTGCACCATGCAGGTCTTCTGCAAATCTGTCAGTATATCTGCTTGCCCGTATGGAATGTATGAGAAAGCAGATATACTGACAGGAAGATTCAATGGACTACCACGGCACTCCACAGCACCATGATAGTTAATTGAAAACTACAAAATGGCAAACCGACAGCCGCTAAGGCTGTCGGGACTTTTAGTTCATTCATTCACAGAACGCACGGCCGCTCTGTTTTCAAATCTGACAGATAGTATGGGAAAATTTCTCCCCCTATTTCTGTCACGGGGAGGGGGGAGCAGCTGCAGCATTGGGAACACGTTACATGTTCCACCCTAAAAATGTGTGGAACATGTAACATGTTCCCAAAGGAGAACTTATCCTTTAAAAAGCGCAGTCACTGCAACTAACAATTTATTCAAAGCAGATAAAAATATATAAATATGAAAAGAATTGCTGTTATTTATATAGTTTACTTTCAGTCAGTCAAGCAGTAAGGTCCAGTATGTCTTCAGGGAAAACCCTCAGGTAAACAACCTGAGCAAGAGCACAGGCAAACCCAGACCGAGTCACCTGAGGGGGCCTTAACCACAATTATCAGAGGCAGGGGAAACAAAACAAACATAGCGACGTGTACTCCTGGATGGTCACAAACACAAAACAACTGCGGATGAGAGGAAGGAGCTGCTTTTTAATCTCCATTTAGTGCTTCCCGTTGAAGGCAGAGGCAGTCATCTCTCAAGACCTTGTCCTTGATGATAATTTGTGAAACTGTTGTCAAAGTACAGGTTATCCGAGCACAGGCAAACAACAGAATTAGCCAAGGGCGACATTGGCGATTACATCTCTTTGCTACTGTAAGCTGTAACCTCTTGTTGGCAGTAACCACATTTGGAGCACACTGAAAGCAATGTGCAGCTAATGAGATGATGAGCAATAAGTAGTCACGTTTCCAAGTACTGAAGAGGATTATTTGCCAGCATGGCACTTGGGAAAAAAATGTGTTGCACCTATTGCTTGTAGTAACATTGTTCCCGTGCTCTGGCAGTGTCGGTTGCCTGTGTTTCCTGCTGAGCACCATAGTTCCATCCCTTGACCCCTTCAGTACTACATGACTCACCAGTGATGTAAAAGTGGGGAATGTAGACATCTGAAACTCCCAAGTGTCAAAATGCTGAAGATTGTGAAAGAGGCTGTAATACCTTAAAGTGAGGCAGGCCATATGGTATGAGAGCTCTTCAATTGCTTGGAGCTTTCATAGAATGCTGTGCTAGCTAACATCTGTCACAGAGATCTAACCTAGGCAGATTAACTATACACAAGGTAATTTATACAAGCCTTTTTCAACCAGAGTGCCCAGACAGCCTGGGGTGCCTTGGAAAAATTCCTACAAATTTCCCAACAATTGTATATAAGCAGCAGGTGGATCATTCATGCCTTTAAGTTACACAAAGCCATAGGTTTTCATTGGGCACTTTTATGACCTTCTAGCTGCCGGCATCCTAACAACCAATGACATCATCAGCTGATAAGGAGGACATCGGGTGCATGCACATCATCCTTGTTTGGCCCTCTCCAGTCCCTCTCCATCAGTCACATTAGCAGAGCGAGGGAGAGAAACACTGGAATACTAGTCAGTACCAATGTGCAAAGGTATATTTGCTTTGGAAGAATAAATCGCCTCTAACATTGGGTGTACTATATGTGTGTAGAATAGTTTTTTACATTTTAAAATGGGGTGCCTTGAGAATGAGCAGAATTTTAAGTGGTGCCTTGACTGAAAAATAGTTAAGAAATGTGGATTTAGAAAAACCGTATAGGAGAGCTTGATAAAGTATGTTGCTGTCTCAGTGCTCTCAAGAAGGATAATGCTAGCGGTAAATAGGTACACACAAATGCTAGCAGTATATGGGTACACACAAAATGATAGCGGTATATGGGTACACACAAACGCTAGCGGTAAACAGGTACACACAAATGCTAGCGGTAAACAGGTACAAATGCTAGCGGTAAACGGGTACACACAAATGCTAGCGGTAAACGGGTACACACAAACGCTAGCGGTAAACGGGTACACACAAACGCTAGCGGTAAACAGGTACACACAAACGCTAGCGGTAAACAGGTACACACAAACGCTAGCGGTAAACAGGTACACACAAACGCTAGCGGTAAACAGGTACACACAAATGCTAGCGGTAAACAGGTACAAATGCTAGCAGTAAATAGGTACACACAAATGCTAGCGGTAAACAGGTACAAATGCTAGCGGTAAACGGGTACACACAAATGCTAGCGGTAAACGGGTACACACAAATGCTAGCGGTAAACGGGTACACACAAATGCTAGCGGTAAACGGGTACACACAAATGCTAGCGGTAAACGGGTACACACAAACGCTAGCGGTAAACGGGTACACACAAACGCTAGCGGTAAACAGGTACACACAAATGCTAGCGGTAAACAGGTACAAATGCTAGCAGTAAATAGGTACACACACAAATGCTAGCGGTAAACAGGTACAAATGCTAGCGGTAAACGGGTACACACAAATGCTAGCGGTAAACGGGTACACACAAACGCTAGCGGTAAACGGGTACACACAAACGCTAGAGGTAAACAGGTACACACAAACGCTAGCGGTAAACAGGTACACACAAATGCTAGCGGTAAACAGGTACAAATGCTAGCAGTAAATAGGTACACACAAATGCTAGCGGTAAATAGGTACACACAAATGCTAGCGGTAAACAGGTACAAATGCTAGCGGTAAACGGGTACACACAAATGCTAGCGGTAAACGGGTACACACAAATGCTAGCGGTAAACGGGTACACACAAATGCTAGCGGTAAACGGGTACACACAAATGCTAGCGGTAAACGGGTACACACAAATGCTAGCGGTAAACGGGTACACACAAATGCTAGCGGTAAATAGGTACAAATGCTAGCGGTAAACAGGTACAAATGCTAGCGGTAAACAGGTACAAATGCTAGCGGTAAACAGGTACAAATGCTAGCGGTAAACAGGTACAAATGCTAGCGGTAAACAGGTACAAATGCTAGCGGTAAACGGGTACACACAAATTCTAGCGGTAAACAGGTACAAATGCTAGCGGTAAACGGGTACACACAAATGCTAGCGGTAAACGGGTACAAATGCTAGCGGTAAACAGGTACACACAGATGCTAGCGGTAAACAGGTACACACAAATGCTAGCGGTAAACAGGTACACACAGATGCTAGCGGTAAACGGGTACACACAAATGCTAGCGGTAAACAGGTACAAATGCTAGCGGTAAACAGGTACACACAGATGCTAGCGGTAAACAGGTACACACAAATGCTAGCGGTAAACAGGTACACACAGATGCTAGCGGTAAACGGGTACACACAAATGCTAGGGGTAAACGGGTACACACAAATGCTAGGGGTAAACAGGTACACACAAATGCTAGGGGTAAACGGGTACACACAAAATGCTAGGGGTAAATAGGTACACACAAATGCTAGGGGTAAACGGGTACACACAAATGCTAGGGGTAAATAGGTACACACAAATGCTAGGGGTAAACGGGTACACACAAATGCTAGGGGTAAATAGGTACACACAAATGCTAGGGGTAAACGGGTACACACAAAATGCTAGGGGTAAACGGGTACACACAAATGCTAGGGGTAAATAGGTACACACAAATGCTAGGGGTAAACGGGTACACACAAAATGCTAGGGGTAAATAGGTACACACAAATGCTAGGGGTAAACGGGTACACACAAATGCTAGGGGTAAATAGGTACACACAAATGCTAGCGGTATACGGGTACACACAAATGCTAGGGGTAAATGGGTACACACAAATGCTAGGGGTAAATGGGTACACACAAATGCTAGGGGTAAACGGGTACACACAAATGCTAGGGGTAAATGGGTACACACAAATGCTAGGGGTAAATGGGTACACACAAATGCTAGGGGTAAATGGGTACACACAAATGCTAGGGGTAAACGGGTACACACAAATGCTAGGGGTAAACGGGTACACACAAATGCTAGGGGTAAACGGGTACACACAAACAAATATACTTACTAGGACTCCAGCTGCAACAGATGCTATCATGTTCCTCTTCTCACCCCAGTCAATGCACTCTGAGCACCGCATACTGTCAAGAAAGCCTGACATCTTCAAAAGACCTACAAGTAAATGTAAAGATCAGTAAACAGTATAGAACAATTTACATCCTGATAAAAAAAACAAAAACAAAAAACAGTCAAAATAATACATGTAAAATTCTCCTCACTTATATAGTGCACAACTTTGCAGGGTACATGTATACAGGACCAGTACCTGACAAAGTCTTGTTCATGCACTCATGACACTGCAACATATGGAAACACAGGCTCTGCCCCACAAAGAAATTGTGCAAGTTCGATTTTAGGTGTTAGCAGTCTGTTTAAATGAATAAGGGATCCTAATGCAACACGTGTTAAATACACCACAATGAGTTGGCAAAGTGTGAATGGGCCCGTAAAGTGGTTGTAAACCCTTACATATTGCCAGTGAAGTAACTAGCATCGGAAGATACAGAGATGAAACACATTCTCATATATAAGTTGTACCTGTTTATTTGCAGCCATCTATCCTCTACTGCACACAATTTTCACAGCACCTCTCTGAAGCAGAGTGGGGATCTGAAGTTTCACTGAGCAGATCTCAGTGAGGACAGCTCTGAACCCTGATTGGAGGGAGGGAGGGAACACCCCCCTCCCCCACCACACACACACACAGTACAGGAGAACATGCACAGCTGTGGCTGTCAATCACAGTCTGTGTGCTGGAACTCTCAATCACCTTTTAATCTTTTGCTGTCCAGAAAAGCTGTCAGAAGCAACTCATGCAGCTAACAGGAATGCTGTGACCTGCTGCAGACAGAAATCACACTCAATGCTTTGGTTAGAGACACAGTATAAAAGCATATGCTTTGTTCATATTTCATGTATGAGGTTTACAACCACTTTAAGGAACTAGCAATCTCAGGTACCTACTATAGTCATGTTTAAGGAATTTTGGGTAAAAATTGACTAAACAACAAGTATAATTTTAGACTTAAAGACCACCTGTAGGAAATCCATGAAGACAAAGGAAGAACATACTTTTACTCTCCATGTAGATAGTGTACCTTATAATAACTAAACCCAGGACCTTGTCCTGCTAAACTACATTGCAAACTATTATGCCTATCTTTCAAAGTGATGGTAAAATCATAGTAGCAAAGTTTGTATATAAACTCTGGCTGACAGTACAGGAACTTTGTGCGGAGTAAAATAAAGGGACTCGTATAAGAATACTAGTTGCATGGCTGCCTCTCATTTTAATGCACTCTAGGTCACTGACCTGGAAATATAGCGTGCAAGCTAAGTTAGAGTGAAATGAGATCTCCTGATCGGCATGCTGAAGGGTTCACAATTCAGATTCTCACAGTATAGGTTTACTTTAAAGTGCACATGTAAAGAAATGCATTCATTAAGGTCAGTGCACCCAAATGAATATTTTGGTTTTCTTGGTAATGGCAAAGGTTCCATTTAACAATTAGAAACGTAATAAAGATATCCTGATGATGTTTTTTTTTGTTCAACTCAGTGGGCGAAAAAAACGAAAAAAAAAACAGAGATATGACCATGTGATGTGTGTGCTGCGATCTTCCCTGTAGAGCCTCCCCCTGCCAGAACACACTGATCAGAGCTCACAGCCATTGGCTGCCAGTGAAGATCGGATGCCAGTTTTCCACACGTTAGAGTGGCTTCTGTCAGAAAGGCTGATGAACACAGTGGCTGAATGTTGGCCAGTTTCTAACCAGCCAATGCTGGCCTATATTTGGCTCATGTGTATTAGCCTTTTGTCTCTGGGTACAAGCAGCTGTCCTCATAGAGGCATGGCTTTGCTTCCTCAAATCAGAGAAGTAGGGCATGACAGTAATTAAATAAAAAAAAAAAATCTGCCAATCTTTCTCCAAATCTGATGAGATTAGAAGTCAGATGCAGCAGTACCTTAGATTTCACACTGCAGCTAGGAGGATGTAGGCACAGAAGAGTTCAGAGTACCTCACAAACCAGCAAGTGCATTGGCTACTTTTTAAGAGTAATCCAGACAAAGTACATTTTTCATGGTATTGCTTAAGTACAATTAACAACCAGGATGGGCAAGCACACAACCAGAACTATGTGACAGAAATCACACATCCCCCAAAAGAAGTCACTTGGCTGTTCAAACCTACCACGACCTGATGCTGCATCTGCCCCTTTCCGGCTCTGCACTGAGAACCAAGAGATCAAAGAGCGCTGATCACTCAGTTCTCCCCTCCACTCTGGACAGACAGTCATGACTGTCAGTTGACAAGCGTGCTGGGCTGTAGAGAGTAGGGAGCACATGGCTCAGTCTCCCAGTGGTGCAGCTGAGAGAGGCTGAGCCGGGTGCTGGTCCAGGCATCTGGGTGGATCATGAATGTAAAGTCAGGCTCTTTCCCAAGCACGGACTGGCTGAGTGATGCCAGGTGTCAGAAGGCTTTAGCCTACTGCCAGCGGAACACGGGTCACAGGAGTGCAGTTTGTTCTTGTTCATTTATAAAGTAGTATAGCCTACTAATAAGGCTTTGGCCATACGTCTCCTTTAAGTAAGGAACAGCGTTCTGTATACACATGATTTCCCACAGAAGAATCATATGACTTACAGCTTGAATGGATCTCTTTTATAAATATATGTACTGCACACTGCTGTCATTTGTACTGGAATACTTCACTTCTTGATGGCTACAGCTATATATTTAAAGTATATGCAGAGGTTATAAACACAATAGGGTTACTGCATAAACTTGAGGCTTAGGATTGCATAGCTTAATCAAGTTTTGTTACATTTTCTGTTTTTTTTTTTGTGTATGTGAGACAATATACAAAATGTTTTCACATTCAAATCCATGTGGGAAAATAGTGGTGCACCAAAATGAAAATTCTGGTGCCAAAAAAGTAAAATTCAAAATGTACTTGGCCGAAAACCGAAATGCGCAGTTTTTAAAAATGAATATACAGTGGGGCAAAAAAGTATTTAGTCAGCCACCAATTGTGCAAGTTCTCCCACTTAAAAAGATGAGAGAGGCCTGTAATTGGCATCATAGGTAGACCTCAACTATGAGAGACAAAATGAGAAAAAAAATCCAGACAATCACATTGGCTGATTTGGAAAGAATTTATTTGCAAATTATGGTGGAAAATAAGTATTTGGTCATCTACAAACAAGCAAGATTTCTGGCTCTCACAGACCTGTACCTTCTTCTTTAAGAGGCTCCTCTGTCCTGCACTCATTACCTGGCACCTGTTTGAACTTGTTATCAGTATAAAAGACACCTGTCCACAACCTCAAACAGTCACACTCCAAACTCCACTATGGTGAAGACCACAGAGCTGTCGAAGGACACCAGAAACAAAATTGTAGACCTGCACTGGGCTGGGAAGACTGGATCTGCAATAGGCAAGCAGCTTGGTGTGAACAAATCAACTGTGGGAGCAATAATTAGAAAATGGAAGACATACAAGACCACTGATAATCTCCCTCGATCTGGGGCTCCACGCAAGATCTCACCCCGTGGGGTCAAAATGATCACAAGAATGGTGAGCAAAAATTCCAGGACCACACGGGGGAACCTAGTGAATGACTTGCAGAGAGCTGGGACCAACGTAACAAAGGCTACCATCAGTAACACACTACGCCGCCAGGGACTCAGATCCTGCAGTGCCAGACGTGTCCCCCTGCTTAAGCCAGTATATGTCCGGGTCCGTCTGAAGCTTGCTAGAGAGCATTTGGATGATCCAGAAGAGAACTGGTAGAATGTCATATGGTCAGATGAAACCAAAATAGAACTGTTTGGTAGAAACACAACTCGTCGTGTTTGGAGGAGAGAGAATGCTGAGTTGCATCCAAAGAACACCATACCTACTGTGAAGCATGGGGGTGGCAACATCATGCTTTGGGGCTGTTTCTCCACAAAGGGACCAGGAAGACTGATCCATGTACAGGACAGAATGAATGGGGCCATGTATCGTGAGATTTTGAGTGCAAACCTCCTTCCATCAGCAAAGGCATTGAAGATGAAACGTGGCTGGGTCTTCCAACATGACAATGATCCCAAACATACCGCCCGGGCAACGAAGGAGTGGCTTCGTAAGAAGCATTTCAAGGTCCTGGAGTGGCCTAGCCAGTCTCCAGATCTCAACCCCATAGAAAACGTTTGGATGGAGTTGAAAGTCCGTGTTGCCCAGCGACAGCCCCAAAAAATCACTTCTCTAGAGGAGATCTGTATGGAGGAATGGGCCAACATACCAGCAACACTGTGTGCCAACCTTGTGAAGACTTACAGGAAACGTTTGACCTCTGTCATTGCCAACAAAGGATATATAACAAAGTATTGAGATGAACTTTTGATATTGACCAAATACTTATTTTCCACCATAATTTTCAAATAAATTCTTTCCAAATCAGCCAATGTGATTGTCTGGATTTGTTTTCTCATTTTGTCTCTCATAGTTGAGGTCTACCTAGGATGCCAATTACAGGCCTCTCTCATCTTTTTAAGTGGGAGAACTTGCACAATTGGTGGCTGACTAAATAGTTTTTTGCCCCACTGTATATTTTTTGGAAAAAAATACACTGATTAAAAAAAAACAATATATATCCCAATTTTTTTGTAAAATATGAAAGAGGATGTCACAGCGAGTAAATAGCATGCATCCCTTGTGATAGAAATAATTAGTGACAGGTCTTCTTTATGGAGAGATATGGGGTCAATAAGACCCCACATCTCTCTCTGCAATGTAAAGCATTGGATCAATAAAAAAAAAATAAAACCCAAAAAACATTGATCTAGTGCTTTAAGTGACATCGCTCCGGTCCTCCAAGGGCATAGAGATGAGTGGCGGCCATCTTTCCTTCACTCATCTCTATGCCCAGTGCCAGGATTGATGGTTTCTCAGGTAAGGCTGAGAACTACCGAGTGGCAGCCGGTGACGGCAGGTGGGTTTTTTTCGGCACCTGTATCGGTGCTTTTTTTTCATTTTGGCCAGCGGCTGAAATGGGTGTTTTTGGTGGATTCCTAAAAAGAATCAAGTAGAAAGTACTGTTTGCATAATATAAAA